CTCCAGAGCAATGCATACAGAATGAATGATGGTACTTTGATGTGTTAAGCCAGCTTCCTGCCTGAAAGATTATGAGGCAAAAAATAGCCATTAAAAAAAGCATTCTTAGGAGGAATACTCACTTGATTGGCACGAGTACTTAACTATGCATGGCAGATTTCAAACTTCTCTTCTGTAAGTAGCATTAACCCAGCACTCCTTGAAACAATACTCCCAAAGCTCTGGCACAGGCTGAGTGCTCTATTCACAGTGACAGGCTGGCACCATTGTTTGCCTGGATTAGTGCAGCCAGCTAATATCCAAAGTGCTTGCCTCTTGTCACCGTGCCTTCACTCTACTCCCTTTGGAGCAGTAGTTTTCAACTGGTGTGTCCTGGCACACAGGTGGACTTGAATCCACTGTAGGTATAAAGCCAAATTTTAGCTGGGTATGGTGGTGCACACCTGGAATTGCAGCTCTTGGGAGGCTGAGGAAGGAGATTGCTGTGAGTTCAAGGTCAGCCTGGCCTACATAGTGAGCTCAAGGCCAGCCTGGACTACATAGTGAGACCCTGCCTCAACAAAAAGCCAAATTTTGATTGCCAAATAAAAATAATTTTGGTTACAACATATTCTAATCATAACAGCAATAGCAGCAGCAGCAGAAACAATAACAGAGATTTATATAACCCTTATTGAGTGCCACACTCCTCCAAGCACTTGACATACATTAACATCTATCCCTCATGGAAATCAACAAATTTATTCTGTTGTTGGTCCTCTTTTGGGAGAAGAAAACTAAAGTACCACAGGCAGGATAACTTGCCTAGGGATCCACGAAAAAGTGGCAGAGTTGAGTTTCATAATGTGTGTTCTGGAGGCCCTGTTAGGGTAAATTAAATGCTCTTCCATCTCATGTTTGCTGAGCCAATTTCTGCCCATCCTTTGAGGTCCGGCTCAAGTGCCCTCTTCTTTGCAGCTTCTGTGCTTTTCTCCAATTGCTCCCCCGTAGAAAAGTTGCTGCTCCATCTGTGCTCCAGAAGTGTCTCACATATACCCTATAAGGATGACTATCCCACCACTGCTGTTTGTTGGTGCATTAATCATTCTGCTAGTTTGGGAGATCATTGGCCTGTGACTTCATCCTCCCTGTGTGCTTCCCTCTCTGCAAGGTCTAAAGGGCTGGAGATCATCTGTAATTCCTGTTGTTGGGTTCAAACAGTGCAAGTTATGATCTTTTATGTGTTATTCTTGAGAGAAATTATATCTCACTTCAAGTATATTTGGAAAACCAATCACTTGAGTTCTGATTTCTATTTCATTCAATTATGCAAAACATGAGCCACACATGGAGGCATGTTCCAGCTACTTGGGAGGCTGAGGCAGAAAGATTGTGAATTGGAGGCCAGTCAAGGCAACACAGCAAGATCTCGTCTCTTATAAGGAAAATAAGGGTGCTGGAGGTGTAGCTCAGTGGTAGAGCACTTGCCTAGCATGCTTGAGGCCTTAGGTTTGACCCCAGAACCATAGAAGAAAATAATCAAAAAGTGATAACATGATGCCTTAAGTATTCTTGGACTTTGTACTAAGTCTAGGGGTAAACAAGTTAGGGAAAGTTCCTGCCTTATGCCCCTTAGAGACTGGCATAGAGGCGAATTAGTTGATTATGGTGACAGATCCCAAGTACTACAATAACAATACAGTAGCTATAGAACCAACCTGGCTGGAGCCGCAGGGGAGGCTTCCTTAATAACATCTAAGCTAAAACATAAAAAGTGAATAAAATTAGTCAGGTAAAGAGTGGGAGAATTACATTTGATGCTCCGACTTGCCTTTAAAATGGCAACATTCTCGTCCGCTCTATAGATCCTAATAGTCTTTCAAGACTCGTAAGATTGGGCTTTCTCCAGGTACTTTTCCTGAGTCTTTTACTTATATGGCTTTTTTGAACTTCTTTTTACTGAACTCCTACAATGAATAATATTTTAGAATAAATTTGAACCTCAGGGATATGTCCTATGTTGAAAACATTGAATTATTTCACTTAATTTTCAAAACAACCTCACAAGTTAATCTTTCCTTTTTCTTATGAGAAAACTGAGGCTGAATGAGCCTGTGTAGTTTTCTTAATATCTCACAGTTAGCATGAGCTAAAGTTGGAGCTGTATGTTAAATTTAGGTCTGAGTAGATTTAATTTCCACAACAATTCTGTTAAGTAGGTATTACCACCCCATTTTATAGATGGCAAAACTGAGACCCCAAAATAATTAGCCCAAGATCTCAAAGCCCCTAAGTATCAGTGTCTGGATTCTAATTCATGTATGTTTGACTCCACTTTGGTGGGCTGGTGCTCAGACAGAAAGCGTTTCCAAATTCTCCCTCTCACATGTGTCTCTTCTGCAGTTGTGACCCTGTGACTGTGATAGTAGGTGCTGCTGTGGGTCCAGAGATTCCAGACTGTTGCTGCCACATGGCAGCCCCTCCATTTATCATCATTATCTAGGTGATTACTAGCAAAGCAGGGTCTCAGGCCCTACACTAGACCTACTGTATCCAAACATACATTGCAACCAGACCCTCAATAATCCCAGATCATGCGCATTCAAGTGCGTGGAGATGAGATTGTGCCTTAGAATGATTCTTTTTTTTTGGTACCAGGGGTTGAACTCAGGACCTCACGCTTGCCAGGCAGGCACTGTGCTGCTGAGCTAAATCTCTGGCCCTTAGAATGATTCTTGCAATTATAAACTGTACAGTGTTGTTGGCCTTCTGGGTTGAAAGCTCGCAGACAGGCCAGTTCTGAGACTTTAGTCTTTCAGGGAGAGTTCCAGAGGTCTGGACTGAGCTAGACTTTTTGACTGACTTCCAGTAGGTTGTGGAGATGGAGTCAATAGCTAGGATCTTTGCACTGCAGTCCAATATCAAAAAGGGTCCTCTGGGACTGCCATTATCTACAAACTTGAATGTTTAGCTTGCAGGCTTTAAACTATAGATTAAAATAAACACATTATAAAATTACATGATGATTTAAAACATCCTTGTCAGGAACAAAAAGCTAAATACAGTACTTTCCCACATTACAGTAAGACCTGGAAGAACCAAATAATATTTCCCACAAAACCTTGCAAATTTGCAGTAGGTCCATCATGATGTTATTCATGTGACTCCCTTGTCTATGTTTCAGCCAATAAAAATCGTGATAACACTATTACTGCATTATGACAAAATCTGTCATATTTACCTTTATAGTTGCCCATTCCTTCTGGTTGGTATATTCATTTATTTATTCATGAACATATATTGAATGCTTTCCCTGTGGCAGGCACTACCCTGTCCTGAGAAAATTACAGTATTTATTGATCAATACAACAAAGATTCCAAAAGGAACAATTGTCATAAGGTGGGAACTAGATGATTTAACTTACTTTTCAAAATATTGGGCCTATATCTCTTTTGATTAGAAGAAAAGGACTGCAAAAATAGTACCATTTATGGCTCATGCTGTTGGATGTAGTATCAACATAAGAAATGAAACTTGCGTTGGATACATCAGAGTCCCAGAGACTCAGGCTGTCTTCTCTTCTTTGATCAGATTTTCAAGCCCTTGATGTGAACTTGTTCCCCTTTGGGAGGATGGTGTGGAGTGTGTGTGTGTGTGTGTGTGTGTGTGTGTGAGAGAGAGAGAGAGAGAGAGAGAGAGAGAGAGAGAGAGAGAGAGAGACAAAGAAAGAGACAGGGAGGGGGGGAGGGAGAGAGAGAGAAAGAGATAGAATATATGAATGTGCTTATAAGTCTGTATAAAGGGGCCAGGCTAAGTGGTTTATTTTTATTTCTATGTCTTATGGGAAAGAGACTTATTTCCAGCTCTGAGTGCCAGAGCTGACAACAGGTATTTAGCATTCACTTTTTTCTCTCCAAAAGTTTAGTCTGCAAGGCTGAAAGTGTGGTTGTAACATTAAACCGTTTAAGTGTGCTAACTCTGTGCCAAGTAACACGACAGAAGGGTTTTTCTAGTATAGATCAGGGAGGTATGGGGTCCAGAAGCCTTCTCCTTTTTCAAAATTAGGTCTTGACTAATTTAAGAGTTCACTATTTTGGGTGACTGAAAGTTTTCCAAATTGACGTGATCTGTGTTTCTGAACAGACAGCTCTAGAAATATTTATGTAGTCTGTCTATAAGGTGCTTACAGAACAAACAAGCAAACATGGAAATAATGAGATGATTTGCAACTTGAGTTTTGCTAGGTCTATTTTGGAGTGTGTGTGTGTGTGTGTGTGTGTGTGTGTGTGTGTGTGTAATTTGGATTTTGGATTACAGGCCTGTTTTCAGAATCTATATTTCATAACTAAATGGTAAATACCAATCCCTGTTTGTAGCAGCAGGATCCTGAGATGCGAAGTCCTCATCTAATCATGGCCAGAAGACCAGCCACCCACGTTGAGAGCCTCAAGGACAGGAAAACCCCTGCTTTGCCCTTCTGGATGTCTCTTCCATTTTCTTCCTTTTGTTCTTGCAATAATTCAAAATATGAGCTTTGCTTTTCAAGCAGAGGAAGTCTAGGTCATATCCTGTGTGTATAAGCTGGCAGACTCTCATTCTCATTTACTTCCTTATCACAGATTGGGTTATAGCCTTCACCATTTCTATAACTCATTCATTTGATCATTTGACGAGCATTTGCTAGATTTGCATGTACGAGGCACCAAAGTGCTGGGGATAAAGGATGACTGAGGCATGAGCTTCTTTTTCTTCCAGAAGCTCACTGTTTCAGAGAAGAAAAGACACATAGACTATAGCAGCATAGGGCTAGAAAGGGTGTCTTTATAAAAACATGTAGAAATATGTGCAGAGGAAGGAGCAATGAGTTTTGTGTAAGAGAACTGAGGAGCTGTTTGAGCTGAGTGTCAGCAAATGAGTTTTAGTTTACTAGTCCAAATCAAGCCCTGTTCTCATTAGGAGACGCTCTACTATAGTAGAAGTCATGACACATCAGAATATCATTGTATCCTTTTTCTCTTAGGCAAACATCTCAGCTGCCCATTATCAAAATCCCTGATTGAGTGATTTTTCTCTTCAGAGAAGAAGGAGAGTGTATCAAATGAGTGGTCAAAAGGACAAGCTTTGGAGTTGGAAAGGTGGGAAACATGACTTTGTCTCTGATAGTTCTGTGACTTTAGGAAATAGTCTTTAACACTCCAAAGCCCCCTGCCACCTTGTAAAATAGAATGATGACACAAATCCCACAGTACTGGTGAGAGAGGTTAGTGAGATAATGAGTGGAAAGGATTTAGCCCCTTATCTGGAAAGGCCTCAATAAATACAGTGATTATTATCCAAATAAGAATGTTGTCACCTTCTTCAGCCAGCCTCTCTAGCTACTAGGTAGTGATACAAGGAGCTGCCTTCAAGAATATCTATCCTTGCCTAGGGCGTAGTGACTTAGATAGTTGATAGAATATACCCAGATTCAATAATTTTTATTTTTAATACCTGGTTAGAAATTTAAACTTTGGAATTTTAACAAATTGGATTATTTCACAAGAATTAATTTTATGTAACATGGACAAAATTATAAACAAATTTACTAAGTGATCAAAGGAAACACCTATAGTACATCATATCACCATAAATAGATGACATAAACATAACTTGAAAATTATCCATCTTTATAGGAATATAGTAGTATTCCATTATATATAGACAGCACATTTGTTTTTGGTACCAGGGATTGAACTCAGGATCTTGCGCTTGCGAGGCAGGCGGCGGCACCACTGAGCTAAATCCCCGGCCCAACATGGCATTTTTTTTTAATGCATTTGTCTGTTGATGCACATATAGGCTGCTTCCAAGATTTAGCTATTATGAAAACACAATGTTAAGTGAAATAAACCAGACACACAAGGTTAAATACTGTATGGTTTCTCTCATATCCAAAGTTTAGGTAAATTAAAGCGCAAAAGAAATGATTGATAAAAGGAAACAGGGAGATAGATCTTTTGCAAATGGGAAGGGGACCAAGAGACCAAGGGTGAGGGGAGGGAGGAGGGAAAGGGAATGTAAAAAGATGTAAGATATGTTACGTACATGTACCAACTCCCCACAGGAATGTAATCATTGTGTGTTGCAAATGTAAACTAGAAGAAGAAGAAGGAGGAGGAGAAGGAGGAGGAGGAGGAAGAAGAAGAGGAGGGAGGGGCTATACAGATGGGAGGGAGAGGACAATGGGGAGGGAAGGGGAATAAAAATAACCAAGCTATGTTAAGTACATGTACCTACACCCTAAGATGAATATAACACTGTGACTGCAAACATATACTAAAAAGAAAAAAACATAAGCTGAGCTTTTACCAATTCCTTCTCATTTGGGGAGTTGGTAAATGATTGATAGCCCAGGCTAATAATTAATCCTATGTTCAGTACAGTTTTTTTTATACTTGGCCTATGGTCAGTTTTTTTTAATATTCCATGTTATCCTCATTGATTTCATTCATTAGATTGACCATCAACTCTTGAAGGTGTTTTTATTCCCATTAGTAAGTCACTATGGCAACATATATTCTCTCCGTTTTGCACAGTTCTCATAAATAGCTTCACTCATTCATTTACTTATTCAATGACAAAGACTGACTATATAGAAAATACCCACTGCTGAGGAAGCAGATACTTCCTTGCTGTTAAATAGTTCACAATTTAAAAAAAAAAAAAGAAAAGAGTTTACAATTTGGTGGAAAACAGCAGTTTAGCCCAGGGGGCAGTGCTCTAATAATGATGAGCAAAAGGTGATGATGGAGTGAAGAGAATAACCCTACAATAGGAAACACATCCTAGGCAGAGCCCTGAGAGAAGAGGGAATAATGACCAGGAAGGCAAGAAAAGACAAGGACACGCCAAGCTGAGGAACAACATGGCAGAATTTTGGAGATTGAAGAATTACGACTTGTACATAAATGCCAAGTAAGTTAATAGTTGGCTTATAGGGTACATGCCAGAAACAGTATGATATGAGCATGGAAATGTAGGCAGGGCAAACCTGGACCATGCTGAGAAACTTTAACTTTATACAAAAGGGATAAAGCCCTTTTGAAAGGTAACGGAAGGGTAAATTTTCTGTTTTGCAAAGATCACTCTGGCAGCAATTTGATGAAGTGAATTGAATGCAAGGCTGGAAGAGAGAAAAGAAGTTGCAATAAAATTCTGACAATGAATGATGGAGACCTTCGCTAATGGGAAAAGAGAGGCAGAGATGGTTCAAGAGAAAAAGGGGAATGGATAGAACTGAGTAAGTTCATGCCAGGTGATCATGATGCCATCGTACAAGAACCAAAACAAGAAGCAAAACAAGAGAACAGGATGGATGGCATCTTTTCTTCTTCCTTACTTTCTGTTTTTATGATGATATTGTCTTGTCTGTTTTATTTTATTTTTATCTCTTTTTCTCCCTGAGCAGTCTTTATTTTCTGCACTCTGTATATAAAAGATTAATGTTTGGAAAGAACATGATTTGGATTGACATAAATCTGGATTGAAATGATAATTACTAGCTCTGTAAATTACTAATTTACAAGCAAATTATTTAATTTCTCTTGTCCTTTCTTCGGGAAAACAGTACCAATGTGTTTGTATAGAGAAGAAGGAGAACTGCAAAGGAAATGGAAAAATAGTAGCCAGAGAGGAAGTTTTGTCGGAAGACTAGAAATCAGTTTAGGTATTACAAGCTATAAGGGGTTGGGACACAGGGGCCTAGAGACTCATGAAACATTAAAAAGCCCAGGAGAGCCAAGTTCACTCCCTGAAACACTTCTCCTGGAGCACTGGAGGCACACCGCTCTCCTACTCAGGCTGGATGTGGTTATTAATTATTACTGTTGTTGCTGTTTTGATTTTTGTTTGGCACCCAGAATTCAAATCCACCCCTTTTAATGCTCTCCTCTCTGTTCCAGGGGGCATGAGTCTGGGCACTACACTTTGCCACAGCCATGAACAAGAAGGTATCTACACCAGATTATCAATGCATTTGTGCAGGTTTGGGAGGGGGAAGAGAAATAAATGTTATTTCTCCTCCATGGGAGTATTATAGCTGCCACCTCTAGCACTCACTTGCAAATCACTACTTCAAGCAGCAAGTATGATCATTGTAAGAGTTTTTACAACTTCCTTATGTATGGGTGAGCTTTTCACTGGGACACAATACCTAACACCTACAGCTCTCCTCTTAAAGGAGAGATTTCATTTGGCTCAGCTTTTAAGTGGTTCAGTCCATGGTTGGCTAGTTCCAAGGCAGAAACATCATGGTGAAAGGGCATAGTGGAATAAAGCTACTCAGTTCATGGTGGCCAGAAACCAGAGCAGGGGAACAATGACAAGAGGAAGTGGCCAGGAACCAGATATAGTCCTCAAGTTCATACCCCCATGTTCTACCCAGACACAGGTAGAAGTTTGCTTTACTAATCTCTTAGGCATCTCTCAAGCTAATTGAGTTGATAGTCAAGATTAACCATCACACCTAGTTTTCTGAAAGATAACAGTTAAACCTGGGGGAAGTTTTCCTTTCTCTGTATTTTCCAATGGATTTGTGAATAAGCTTGATGTATAAACACCTTCCTCTTTCAGATACCTGAGACAATGTCCCCTTTTATGCCCAAACATCAACTTAAAAATTTCTGGATACTACTTTTCAGTGTTCTTTGCTATCTTCTCTTAACCATGAAAACCTTTCCAAGCTACACTCCCTAGGTAAATTCATTCAGCCCTCATGCTTTAATATTTTCTAAAGTCCAACAACTCCACAATTATATCTTAATCCCAGACTTCCCTTTGGGATACCAAGCCATATACTGTAACCCACTTTATCTTGCATATCCACACTACTGTTTTAAAGCTCCTCAAATTCATTGTGTTTGAAACTGACTGGTGATCTTCTCCTTGACCTTTACTCCCCAATCACCTTCTACTTCAGAGTTTTCTTCCTAAGAAAGTGGACTCTCCACTCTTCCTGTGGCTTAGGCTAAAAATATGGGCATCATTCTTGACTCATCTCTCTCCTGCAGCCCCACAGGCAGTTGGTAACCAGTCCTATAGTTTCTACCTGCCCATGTCAAGAACCTGACTTCCTCTCTCTGTTCTTATCACCACCACCACCTTCTTCTGTTGGACCAAGCTTGAGAAGTGAAGCCTCCTTACTGGTCTTCCAACCTCCATGTCCACCCACTTCTGTTCATTCTCCACACCAGAACCAGTGATCTTTTGACAATACAAATTATTTGGTGTCATTACGTTATTTGAACCTTTTGGTGGCCTTCTGTTGCTCTTAAAGTAGCTGTACCTTCTACCCCACCTAGCCAGGCCCTGAGGAGTTCCTACCTTGTCCCTAGCACACCCTCCCTCCCAGGAGTCTTGTCCTCCCTTTCTGCTGCTTTCATGCTGAGTTTGCCTAAAACATGTTCAGCTTTTCCTCTGCCAAATCCTGGTTCCTCCTTTGGTCTTAACTTGGTATCTCTTCCTTACTTCACTGAGTCAGAGTAGGTCTCTCACTATTCACTAAAATAACAACATTTACCTCCTCTTAGCAGTCATCAAAAGTGTAATAAGTTGTTGGAAGTCTCTATTTTTTCCCGTGCTAGAATGTAAACTGTATGAGAGCAAACAACTTTTATTTCTTGTTCATTATTATAATCTTAGCTTCTGGGACCAAGAAAGTATTGAGTACTTATTCAATCAATTAATAGTAAGTAATAAATGGTCATTCTTTCTCCTGTTCCCAGTTCTCCCCTCCTTTTCCTTCCTCTCTCCTCCCTTTCCTTTCCAAGGCCATTGCCCTCTGCCACTATGCCTGCTGTTGTTTTTCCTCCCTGTTCTGTCTTTGTCTTTCTTTGTCTTTTTCTCTCCTCTTCTGCCCTAGGAAAACTAGTGTTCACTTGGACATTAGTGTATGTCAGTTCAGACTGTGTCTATTGGCCTTTCTTTTATTTTTCTGGGATTTTCTAAAGATGGAGTTATTTGTTAATCTCTCAGGATGCCCCACAGTTAAGGGTAGAAAGGATAGATTTCCAGTAGAGCACAGATATGTCTCTCTGAAATAAAACACTCTAGGTTTCCTGTCTTTGTGTTGAAGTGGTCACCTCAATCCCAGGAACTGGCCATCAATCAAATCTTCATGTCCACTTTAGAGCAAAGAATATGGGCAGAAATATGACTTATTTTTACCCTTTCATTTCCAAAATTAAACATTAGAAGGTCAACAAAATAGGAAAAATAGTGGCTCCCTTAGAAAAGAGAAGGTAACAAATGTACCATCTGAGAGCTGAAATAGTTAAGCCTAAGCTTTCTGGCAACCAAAGCAAAAGGGGAAGCTGTATAAACAATAATTTTTACTATCAGAAAGCAGCAAGCATAGCTATTAATCAGAGGAACACTTTAAGAAACACTGCCTTGTCATACAACTCTGTATAGTACACTGTACTCGATAGTGTGATAAATGACTGTTACTGTTTTAGGTACTCATCATAACATGGTGTGTTTTTCATCCTTTACAGCATAATCCTACTTACATAAAAGAGTTTACTGGAAAACAGTGTGCTGCTATGCCAGTGGTAGCCTCATATATCTTGTGTTTAACTGCGTATTTGGATTATATCAAGGGGCCATCACAGATGATTGACATATACCTTTTCAGTTTGCACTTAGAAGTTGGCACTCTGTGTGGTACTTTGCAATACACACAGATGAAATTGCCTAATAACATATTTCTCAGATTATATTTCCATCACGTCACATGACTGTATTGAAATTTAAATTTAAAAAATTGGCCTATGTGAAATCTACTAGTTAATTAGAATTTTTTCTCCAGACCTCTATTTGTTCTATATTAGTTTTGAAAATCTTTCTAAAACAAATCACATCTTCTGATATCTTGTTAATGCTTGAGATTTTTTTTAAATTATATGGAAAAGCATCTAAGTACTTTTCAGTTTTGCTTTGGTTGAGTTCTATTATATTTGAATATTATTATAGTTTTTTTCCCTTGCATTATTTTTCTTTGAATAATTTTAATTTTTGTATATGTGTGTGTTTAGTGAATGATAATAAAGTTATACATTAATTAAAAAAAGAAACACTGCCTTGAATTCTTACTTTCTTACTATATATTTTATTTATTGCATGCTGTATATTTAATTCAATGTAATATGTTTCTACTATGTACTAAACATTTGATTTAATTCCACAAACATCTTTCTAGCCCCTGCCACAGGTTAGGCGTTTTACTAAGGGTCCAAGGACAAACAAAACATCCCCCAAAACTGAGCCTGAGTGGAAGACATATAGGTGGTAACTTATTTGAGAAATGATCCCAGAGAGTAAGTGTGAGGGACAAGTGGCAGTGAAATACAGAAGGAGGGAAATCTAATGCAAGGAATGCTTAATAGATAGGCTATCACCGTGACAACTGGTGCTTTGCAAGGAACCTTGCAAAAATGCTTCTTAGACCTATTTGCCCAAGGGAAAATGGGGCATATATATCTGTTAATTCTTTTCTTCACAAGGGGCCTTATGGCTTTAGTTCCCATGCACGTCTAGACTGTCCACACCTAGAGCTCTGGAGTTCAGAGTGGGTTCCCATGGGTGACTTACATTGTGGCATCAAAGAAACACAGGGGCAGGAAGCAATAGGTTGGAGGGCACCAGAAGTGGAGCATCATGAAGTTGTTTCTAGAAGAAGCTGGTCAAAGCCTGAAGGGAATTGATCACTGCAGCAGTGACTGGAGCAAAGAAAGGGCCCTAAAGGACTTGGAGTGGTGCCAAAGGTAGCTGAGACAGGAACATGCTCATTCAGTCGTCACAGCGACATCATTAATTAGGACCATTACTGACCCCATTTTTCACAATGGAAAAGTGAGGTATAGAGATGTTAAATAACCTACCCAAGGTTGTATAACCAGTACAACAAAAGAGATCCACACCCAGGCAGCCTGATCCCAGAGTCTATGCCCTTAACTACTACTCTGTGTATCTCTCAACATGAGCACATCATCAATTTCTTTGCCCTTTTTTCTCCCCCTTCTTCCCTGTCAGGAAAATAACCTTGTAAGTTGTAACGCAAAGTCAGATAGAGCCATTAGAGGCATCCAAAATTCGCTGGGATATCACTTTAAATATTTATAAGAGTTATTTCATCCAAAGAATTTAGAAGACGAAAAGATTCTATCAAGTTGGAAACAATATATTTATGTAGCTTAAGACTCCTTGCAAATTTGAGGGTCTTTAGAGTTAAAAGAAAAATAAATTACGTATCTCAAGATATAAATCAAATGATGAACAGGGGAGAGTTACAGACCTCTAGGGGAGATGAAAAACTAGGTCACGTGACCCATGAGACTGCTCCTGAGACAATGCTTACCCCTCAATTCTCCTGTGTCTCTCTGTTCCTTCTCATGTTCACAGGGCGATATTGCTTATTTTAGAAGATTTTTCATAGTTCCACTAAATCTACCCACATAATTGTCTTTCTGGAATGAACTGATCCCTGACATTTAAAAT